ACTCAAGGCAGGAACCTGGAATTGGGAACTTGGAAACAGGAACCTGGAGGCAGGAACTGCTGCAGGGCCTTGAAGGCATGTCACTTTCTAACTTGCTCCTTATGCCTTGCTGAGTCTACTTCCTCATAGAACTCAGGATCACCAACCATGGTTGTTATCACCATATTAATCTGAGCCTTTCTGTATCAATCATCAAACAAGAAAATGTCCTACAGACTTAGCTACATGAAAATCCTATCAAGGATTCTTTTTCTATTGGGAATTCTTCTTTCTAAATGACCCTAACTTGGGTCACATTGGCATTAAAACTAGCCAGCACATAGTCCAGTGGAGATGCAATAGCTTTATAACCTGTATGTCACTTTGGTCAGGAAGTTCCTATGTTTTAAAATAAAATGTAATTACTTGTTCTTTAGGTTTTCATCAGTTTCTAGAGGGTACCTACAGCTACAAGAGGAAAGCCTTATTTCTAGTTACCCTTAATTACAGTTCAGGATCACAGATCAAGCAGGATAGGCAGGTAGGTAAGCAAGGAAGCCAGGAGATTCAGTGACTAGTTCTTTATGAGTACACTGTGCATCTACCACCATGTCCCCAAAGTCATACTAGTTCTGATGTCTGAGAAAATATGAAGCCAGTATCCTTAAGGAAATACAAGACAACCAAGAAGTCTGACCAACTCCACTGGCTTCAAAAGCAAAGCTTGTTATTGGGTCCCATTCTGAAAGAAGAAACATGGTAGATGAGAAGGCAATAGACTTTGGTATCAGTATAAGTGGGGATTCTATGAGCTTTAATTTGGTTATCACAAAACCAGAGATAATTCTATATTTCTTTCTCACTTGCATGATGCTTCTTCATGATTGTACAAGGATGAGAGCTCTTGGCTTACAGCGTTCATCCAGAGACAATACAATTCTGTCTATTATCATCACAGTCCATTGACTTTTTTTTATCATTCTTCAGTACTTTGATACTAAAAGAATATCACATGTTGTGCACTCTCTGATGTAGCCATGTGCCACTGTTTGCTTCGGAGAAAATGTGGTCTCCAACAGATGAACAACAATATTCAGAAAGCTCCTTTTCCCTCCCCAAAATAGAAAGATCGTCTGCCCTCTCTTTTTAAACAAGATAGATTATTGCAACCATTAAAAATAACTCCTTCAAAATAGTACATTGCAATTATTTGCTTTATGGCAAGTAATTATCCATTAAAATGTAAATTTCTATCTGAAAGTCTACGTCCTCTTCCATTGGTATTTTCTCTTCAAAATTCTTACTGGAATAGATCCCCAATTTAACACATAGCTTCCGTTGAGTCTTAATTGTCTTAAGACTCAAGAAACCTTCTGTTTGCCATGAGGTTCTTTTAAATTATTGATTTCCCTTGTTCGCATAGTGCAGTACCAGCCTCGGTTACCGACCTGGCTGCATAACTGTGACTCAAAGACAGACAGGGCATTTTGGCACTTGACTTTGAGTTTATTCAGTTGATTTCTAATAAAAAATTTGCTATCAACTAACAAAAGGGCTCAGGCAAGCTTTCCTGGATTCTTTTGATAGTCCTTTAATTTAGTTACACTCTGTGGTCTCTGATAACCAGCCTACATCCTTCAAAAGCCTCTGTCATTTCCTAGTCCCATAGAATGAAAGTCTGAAAATTTCCTCACACGGTTCCAGGATGCTGATGCATTCATTCGCTCAACAAATATTTATTGGGTGTCTAATTCTTGCAAGGGATGGTTTTTAGACTGTGTAGGAAAAATGCCATCCTTGATGAACTTACATTGTAGTAAAGGAGAAAAGGCACAGAAATTTTAAAAATACAAAATAATACTTTATTTTAAAACATGATAAAGATAATAATTTATTTATAATACTAGTATCTACCAACAACATAAGATTTAAGCAAAATATAACCCCCAAGGGTTGGCTTCATGAGCAAGGTGAACTGAATAGATGAGAAGGAAGGGAAAGCATGGAAGGCAGGAAAACAGATTTCCTGTATTTTGGTTTCTTTACCTTTAGAGTCTAAATGCTTGTTCAGCCTTCTTATTCTAAGAAAAGATCTATGACCTCTGGGAATTCTGTTCCTTTTTTGTGCAAAAAGGAATGGGGATTTCCTCTGAATATGTATGTGCGTGTGTGTGTGTGTGCATTGACTGGAAAAATGAACGATAATGCTGTAGGAAATGAGTTCTTTAAATCAAAAGGAAGCAGGCAGCCCCAAGATCATTGGCTTTAGGTGCAGTGGTCTTAATATTGCAAGCTTTGGAGAAAAAAAAAAAACAAATTTGGCATGTTATGTAAAGTCTGAATTTCAGAAAAATTGAAAAAATACTTGAATTTTAAATAAAATACTTAACTCTGTGAGATCCACCAAAATTTATCATGTTTTATGATTTAGTTTTTCACCTCAAGTATATAGCAATATTTCTGTATCTTGGTACAAAGTAATATAGCGTTTCTTGTTTGTTTTTTATTTAAATGGCATTTAGCCTTTATTATAACAATAAGGTGAGAGTTATTTTGGGAGGTTCTGCTCTGGGGGAGACATGAGTGTTGCAAGTCTGCATGAGAATGTTTATTACTAGGGTAGATAAAGCTCTAAAAAGCCATCAAACTGCAGTTTTAGGATTCTAGCATTTTACTCTGTTTAGTGTATGTCAAAGGAAAAGGGGAAAAAGAACAAAATAAACCTTTGTTAGGCTTCCAGATGTATGTTATACCAGACATCATAAATTTGAAACTCTGCAATTCATGCAGGACCAGTTAGGTTTTATAGTCCCTTCTCATTTGCTCGCCCAATGACATGATTTAACAAAGTGTACAGCTGCGAGCCCTCTGGTTGATTATTGGTGCTCATTGTGTTCTAAATGTAAAATTTGTCTTAAAAGAAATATAGGTAAGCAAGGGAAAAAATGATCCAGTGAGCTTTCATGGAAAACAGAACTTAGGAATCGTTTCATGTTTGTGGGGAAATTTCCTCAGTGTGTTCAGTCATCTGTGCTGTTAATAAAATTCTGTGTCCCTGTGGGATTGTTAGATCAGACACAAAGGCAGGAGTAATTAGTGAGAGTTTCTCTGCTCCCTGAACAAATGGGGGCAGTTCACCTTGCAAAAGAAGCCGGTGCTGTGAGCCTATGGTGACGAATAGCAGAGCTGGGTTGTCACAATAGCCATTGCTCAGTCTTTAAACTACACCCACTTCCATTATCATTATTTCCTCATTACTCAAAGGTAAAGTTTTCAAAATTATAAGATACTCTCCAGATTTTCTGGTGTTGATAAACTTTAATTATCAATACTATCTGAATATTCTTAAATGACAAATATTCTAGATCTTCTTTTATTTTAAATTGAAAAGCTATAACTAGCTATATATATTTGTGGGGCAAAAACGGTGTTATTATTTATGAATACACTATGGAGTTATTAGATGAAGCTAGTTAATTTATTCATCAATCTCAAATGCTTATTTTTGTGGCAAGAACATTTGGAATATACACTCAGTAATTTTGAAATATATAACACATAATTTATTAAATTCAAAATATTGTACAATGTCTCACAGAAAACCACATCTTCCTTTCTAATTAAGGCTTTGTACTTGTTAATAGTAATATTTACAAGAAAAAGTCAGAGAAAAACATATTATTGTATGATGAAAATATTACCCCTTTTAAAATGAAAAAGAAAAACATTCATTTTCATCCCAAGGATCTTTCTGAGTTACCACTACTCCAGTTTTTAAAAATCAGGTATTTATTTATTAACTAGAGATTTTATTTGCTTTTTCTTTGTTTTTATTATAAAGGGTTTATGGTATAAATAACCAAAAAAATGCATTTTTTAAAACCAGCCTTTACTCAGGTGAAATCTGTAGATATCCATATATTTATATCTACAAATGAACTCCAGAAGTGATCAGTATTCTTTTTTACATCTAAAAATGATATTTTAAGTCAGGTCTTTAAAACTCAAAACTTGTTGGAGCCATGGAATTCAGATTCTCGGATGCCCTCAAAAAGACAGCTTATTCATTTTGTAATGAGGTGCAACACGGGATCTGGTATTCAGATTAGAATAGAAAATATGGAATAAAATAGAATTTTCTAATTTCACCTTTCAGCTTTATTTTGAAAAAAAAAAACCTTTTCATTTCCTGAAGATGAGAAAGCTGATAATGGATGTTATGAACATTTTAAACAGCTTATACTTGTCCATACAGATACTTTGGAATAAAAAATAAATACAAACAAAAAATTACTATGGATACTTCCAACAACTAGAAATATCTACTTTTAACTTAGGGGTACATTTGTTTCTAAGATTGAATACATTTTTCTGTAATTGTTGCTTTGAATTATGCTTGTTCCAATCACTGCTGTATTTTAATGCCTTTGGCAACCGTCAACATGGACTCCCTATTCTCACTTCAAACCTTAAGTCTTTCCTTTTTAAAACAAAATGTGTGCTATAATTTGTTTGTGCTGAAAAAGAACACAAAATGAACCACCAAAAACAAAGAGAGGCAAATCAGAAGGTGAGTTGAGGATGAGCATAATGGTAAGAGAACTTTTGGGTAATACTGTGACACGAATCTTTGGATATGAAAAATCATGGCTACACAACAAGGAAAACGTTGAGTCATGAAGTATTAGCATCAGATAGGAATAAAAATCATATATCCTATTTCCCACTTTGATCAGTGAGAGCCAAATGTTTAGCAAGTTTAAGTACCTTGCTTTGAATCCAATGTGGTTTTAGGTAGTATTGAGAAGGAAACCTAGTTTTGTTGATTATCGGTTCTAATTGGTTTCCTTGAATCTTAAAAGTACAAAGAATTTCAGGGCGAAAGTTAAGCACCATTGCCTTGAAAGCTTAGGTTTCAATATTTGAATCATTATATTTTGCTAATGATAAATGAATTTTTGTCTCTCAAGGATGACATTTCACAGATTTTAAAGTAGGTTTTTCTTTTGTTCTTTGCTAAGGCTCACCTTGACTTTATCTTGTCCCATGGACCTGAAGAACTTTCCAATGGATGTCCAGACCTGTACGATGCAGCTGGAGAGTTGTAAGTCCTCATTATTAAATGACAACTTGTTTGTTGTAACCACCATTGACACGTCTTTTTTAGTGTGCCAAGAAGGAATAAATATTTGTAAGACTAATTCTCTACAAATTTCCCAACACCCAAGGTAGTGGGATTTTCAGTTAAGATCCATGAAATTTCCTCTGGCTTGCTGTTTTCAGAGTCCAAAAACGTGTTAAGTGCTATTAACTTAAGGGGATATTAGGAGATTTAATGAGGCGGGGCCAAGGAGATACTTTTAACTTCTTGGCTTATAAAAAAAAAAGTAAGTGTAAGAAGACATACTAACCATCATTTTAAAAGAAATGGTGATGGGCATCTTTCTGATCATTTAAAGTCTTTACAGAGTTCCCTTGAAACTTCTTATAGAAATAAATAAAATAACAAAAATCTTTGTTTTTAGATGCTGTCATAGAAAAAAATGAGAGTATTTGTTTATAATGTATTTAATGATTCCTTGTTGTCCCTTCTCTTGAGAAGAAAGTTGAGAAAAACATTTTTATACATAAAGAGTGTCACCTCTACTATTCTAAATCTCCCAAGCCTTCGCCCAGTCGTTTTATTTTCTCTGTAAAGCAGTACCCAGATCTATGAAATGGAGCTCACCTAAGACTTAAAAAGATTCAATCAGTTGATTTGCTTTGTCCCATTAAGTATTTGTTGTAGGATATATTCATACAGATTGGTGATGGGAGAGATAGGTTAGCCATTGCTTTTCTGGACCATCAATGTTTAAACAGAATCCACACTCCAGTTTGCTACTTTCTATAATTTTATTTCTTGCCTTTAAGATTCTCAAAAGAATATAGACACAAATAAATATGCCATTGATTTCTGGTTAGAGTTGGTGAGTCGCTATTTGTAGTAAGCAAGAATAAGAATTTATAAACTTAATAGATATGCTACAGTTATTAGCCATTGCACTCTTCATAGAATTATTTTTGTTCTCACTAGTCTGCTTTCCACAGTTCAAATATTAAAAAAAATACAAGGAGGGCATAGAAATAATGAGTGAAAAATTATTGTCATATCTAGGTTAGAGAAATATGTAGACCAATTGATAAATAATGATCCAATTATTTATACTTTATAAATATACAATTTTTCTTCTTTTTTTTTTTTTTTTTTGTTTCTTGAAACAGGGTTTTTCTGTAGCTTTGGAACCTGTCCTGGAACTAGCTCTTGTAGACCAGGCTGGCCTCAAACTCACATAGACCCACCTGCCTCTGCCTCCCAAGTGCTGGGATTAAAGGTGTGCTCCCCCACCCCAACCCCCCCCCACCCCGGCTCCTCTCCACTATTTCTATGATTGTAGTCATATAACAATTGGACTTTACAAAATAGGGAACCTTTTTTACTTCATGAGAAAAATGAGTGGGGTAATTTAGCAATGCATATAAAATTGTTCTTGTGGAATTTGCTGTTTTTTGAGATAGTGTCTCCCGCAGGCTCGTCTGGCCTTGAACTAACTATGCCGTCAAGGGTGACCTTGAACTTTTGTTATTTCTGATTCCACCTCTCAAGTTCTGAGTCTACTGTGCTACGACTTGCTATTTTATGTGGTGCTGGGGATTGAACTCAGGACCTTATCAATGTTAGGGAAGAACTGTATCAACAGGGCTACACACCCAGCTCCTGTGTCACTGTTCTTGGTTCATATATCCTACAAGGTCCTCTTAAAATGACTGGGAATTTACTCTTAGTAATTAACATAAGTTTCCTACAAGTAAAGCTAACACTGCAGAAGGGGCCAACTGTGCAATGGTAATACTCGCAGGCAGGCCTGTAATGAATTTGTTCTCATTAAAACTTTCAAAAGGAATGGTTTCACTTGAAATACTGAGACCAGCACCATGAATTGGATTGTCTTACTGAACTGCCACAGACACAACTCTTTCAAGCGAAGAAAATCTTCAAAGGATTTGGTGTTTGTTTACTTGTTTGTTTTTCAGAGAGAGTTAGTGATTAAAGAGGCAGGAGATAAAAGATTCTCTAGATTCCTTCCTCTCATTATATACACATGCAAAAATATATTAATCAGAAATCCCTTGCTGCGTGCAGTTTGTCTGCATCTGATGACGTGTAGCTATTGTGATGACTGTAGCTCTTAAGACTGTACTTGAAATGATTTCCCTGCTTGTCCACTTCTGTCGATAGACTTTGCCGTCTCCTAAAAAGGGTACATTGTTTGTTACTACTTCTTTCTTCCAGTTGGGTACACTATGAATGACCTGATATTTGAGTGGTTAAGTGATGGTCCGGTACAAGTAGCTGAAGGACTCACCCTGCCCCAGTTTATTCTGAAAGAAGAAAAGGAGCTTGGATACTGCACAAAGCATTACAACACTGGTAAGCTTTTCTTTTCCTTGCTAACCCCCAATACCCCCGATTTGCTTATCAAATCAGCTATTCTTTAGGTTAATAGTTGCCCATTCATAAAGCACACAGAGGTTAAGAGAACCCTAAACATTTGGGGGATCTGACCCTGTGGAATAGGCCTGTCGGTGCAGCAGCTCCTTTCGCTCAAATGCCGAAGAGAGATTTAGAAGTCTTTGGCTCTTCTTTTACTGAGCGTTTGCTGTCGAATGAGTCTGAGGAGAGGTGTAGAAGACCTCATTAGTTGTGCAGAAAACATAAATCTTGGCTGCTCCTTGCATCCACTCTTCACAGTGCACCCTCAGGTCAATTTGCACTCCTAGCCTTAGTGGAAGAAAGTGATAATGACATAGGTCTGGGAAGCCCAGAATAGAGACGTTCTTTCTCTGCAGTCCTGGAGAGCACTACGAGTATGGATGAGCATCATCTGGAGAGAATTCGGCTGGCTCTATAAAGTCAGGTGCTATTTTTAGCAATGAAAGGCATATGTGTTGGGCAAGGTTGAAGTAGTAGCAACACATGGGCATCTGTTGTTGCCTGGAAGATTATACCTGCCCAGGAAAGCTGATGTCTTGTATTTCAAATGCTCTGGCCTGTTCATTACAATGGGTCTCTTTGTGAGCCAGCCCAGAACAGCCAACAGCAGTTTCTTATGAAGTAACTTAAGCCCAATTACAAGGTATTCTTCCCAATCTTTATTCTTCAAGGGAAATAATACAAATAACCTTGCAGGGTCTAACTCAAAACCAATAAAGAAGAAAAAAATGTGGAAAGAGGCCAGCACATCTACTTCTTAATAATAATGTTAAAAGTTACAGTATCTTCCTATGCACTTATTGTTATAGATGAAATAACACTACAAACTTTCTAGGAATGAATGAACACTCTAAGGGTCTCCAAGCAATTCCCAAAAGGGTAGAAAGTTTTCACAATGAACAGGGTGTATGCATGCTCTATAAATGTACCCTTAGATTTTTACCATTGAGAATACAAAGATAAACAATTACTCCAAGACTCAGGATGTTCTTACCACTTAGAAGCAGTTTAGGGCTGGGGACTTAGCTCAGTCAGTAAAGGGCTAGTCATGCAAGCCTGTGAACCTGAGTTCAATCCCTAGCACCCAGGGAATGGTGTCACATAAATGTAACTCCAGCACTGGGGAGGTGGACACACATAGTTAGCCTACTCTAATTTGAGAGTCCCAGGTCCCAGTGAAAAACTGCCTCAAAAACCAAGGTGAAAGGCACTTGAAAAATGATACCTGAGGTTGGCCTCTGGTTCCCCAAGCAGAAACACTCACTTGAACCCCAGCACAAACACACACACACACACGGGATTGGTTTAAATTGTACCAAATTACATGGTATATGTAAACTATTACATTGTATATAGTGCATGTTAATGGTTACACATTATGTGCTGTATAGTACTTGCAACACAAACAATTTTTAATCTTTTGTCAGTCTTACAAATGACAAACTCCTATCTAAAATAATCTGCAACAGATCCACATCATGTGCTTACACTATTATTTCCATTACTGGAAGAATTGGAAAATTTTGAATTGATTGTGTAAGATAAGCATTCATTTGTCTACAATCTTCCCAATCTGCTTACAATGTGATTGATTTTTCAGAATCAAATAGGAGAGTAGAATTGGGGAAATGAGTTCAAGTAAGATTTCAAATGATCCTTTTCTGCTTCCAGGCAAGTTTACCTGCATTGAGGTCAAGTTTCACCTGGAACGCCAGATGGGCTATTACTTAATCCAGATGTACATCCCCAGCCTGTTGATAGTCATTTTGTCCTGGGTCTCCTTTTGGATAAACATGGATGCAGCTCCTGCCAGGGTTGCCCTTGGCATCACAACAGTCCTGACAATGACTACCCAGAGTTCAGGTTCCAGGGCATCTCTGCCAAAGGTAAGAAATACCCTCACTTGGCAACAAGTGACTTGAGGAGCTCCCCAAAGGTCTTATTATGGACCAGAAAATTCTGTGAGGACAGAAATTTTGTCATTACATATAATGCTGGACAGGCAAACACATTAAGAAAATATGCTGAGTTTGAGAGTATCAAGACTCTGATAATATGGGAGACCCTCCAAATCCTATCCTTTTTTATGTAAGGCAGTTTTCATAATATAACACATACTGGTTAAATAATGGAAGGTATCCTTACAAAATGCCCCAGCTCCCTAGAGCTGCTCATATATGTGTTTTCCTATTTTGAAGAGTACGAGTACATTGAGCTGTTGGCTTCAGTTTTCAGAGAGTGCGAGTTCGTTTTAGTATTCAGCATACTCAGTCTCATGCTGTTTGGATGGTTTCTCCAAACTCCAGTTCCAGCAAAGAATTGAGATGTAATCCCTTATCGTTTTTGGCTTGAGCGTATGTTCAGTTGTGTTACATTTAATGTGATGAGAAGTATTAGAGCATGTAGCCTGTTATCTCTGGTGTCTGCAAAATAAAATCACAATACCGAGGAGACTTGGAGCTATGACATAGGTGGAATAAATACCAAGGAAATAATTTTACAAATTAATTTAGTTTCATACTTCCAAAAGACAAATATGAAGGTTTTCTACTCGAATGGAAGCAGGTGACATATCTCTGACACCTTTTAACATTATGTGGAATAACAAACAGAATAACATACCTACTGAAGTACAGATGTCAGAAATACCCATGACTTTTGTCAGCCACATAGTTGCTCATCCCTTTTAGTTACTAGAATCTCCAATATACTCAATGCCCTCATGCCAAAGAGATTCATTTGCTTATTTCTCTCTAGCTATTACCTACCACCGTCATTCCATGCCATTGCTCTGCAGGATGCACAAACACACATTTTACCATTTAATGGACAGCTAAAGTGTTGGTGACAAATTGTGAGCAGATAATGTCAAAACATAAGACATTTAACTCCCAACTGTCCCTTGCAATGAAAAGAGCAATTACTTATTTGCAAAATGAGATTTTCAGTTTTGTAAATGTGCTATTCATTCTTCGGAGCCGTTATGATTCTGTATCAACAGGCAAACTATTGTTAGGTAAATGGTCACTGATCAGTGACATTTTTCTGTAGAAACAGTTGGGAATTCAGATAGACAAATGAAGAGGGTATAATTTAAAACAATTTTATACTTGGCTTTGAACACATAGTGGTTAACCTTCTAACACCAGCAGATTTCTCTTCCTACGCGTGTTTTTAAACCATTATTAAACAAAGTCAACTCCCAAGTGACCCGTGAAGAGGTGCGACTCATATGTATGATGGGGAGAATGCAGGATTAAAGTACGAGTCATGGAAATTGAAAAATCCTGACCATATACTTACTTATACAGATACATAAATATTCATGGCTTTATAAACACTACAGTTCCTGAACAGATGGGCCATTGTGTTTGCAGTCCAGCTGCTCCAGAGCCTGCTGGGACAACCTGTACCGAGAACACATGTATTTTACATGTTCGTGGAAAGATAGAAACATCATTTATGTTCACTCTGCAGTACATAGCTGTTGTTACGAAATATATGCGCTTCACCTTTATTTCTGTTTATATCTATGACCAAACCCCCTTAATGGTATGCATAGAGAATTGAGATCCAACTTTTATGTCATCATATGCTATGTCATTTCTCACAGCCTTAAAAATATGTTATGAACATATCCTATTTGCAGTGGTGCAGACTAAATCTAATCTTACACACATTAGGCAAGCACTCTACCACTGCTTATTCCATAAGCAATCTCCAATGACTTCATAATAGTCAATCTGATGTATCAGTCATTTTTGCCATCTATGTATTGAAGGGCTTCTTTTCTGCTTTTACCAATATGATAATTATAAATCTATTTACATGTGACTGTGTTGAAGGTTTTTGAATAGAGTGAATGGGGAAGATGTATGGGAAGGTACACAACAGCACATACATACCATGTAGATAGGCACTTTGTCAACATCATTGTATCAAGCTCATCATTTAAAATACATGTGGCTGAAATTAGAAGATTAATGAATCTTCACTGCTGACAAATAAATTAATGAATAGTCGTGACCCTGTCGCATGAGACCATGCACGAAATAGACCCGGAGTGGAATCCAACCATGAAATTTTACAGAACACTGTAGAGATCTTTTTTGCTTTATTTATTTTTTGACAATTCCATGCCTCCGCATAATAAAGTCTGGTCATTTGTTACCTCCCAGGATCCTCCTTTTCCTCCTGAAACTAGACACCACCCCCCCCCCAACAAACCTGACTCCTACTTTGATGTCATTATTTTTGTGTGACTCACTGAGTTTAATTAGGGTTGCTTGCATGAGCATGCGCTGGGAGGATTTCATGGAGCATAGGCAGCAATGAGTTCATGCATGCAATGGCAAGAGTTTTCAGATCAGGGAAATGTTGTAGTAATATGGTACGTATTGTAAAAAACTGTAATTTGTCGAATATCATAGATTGCCTGTTTCCAAAAGTTTTCCAGTAGACTCCAGAAAGTTTAGAATACATGTATAACAATATACCGTATATAATGATATACTGTGTACAACAATATACTGTATATAATGATATACTGTGAAAGGTAGGAAAACCTGGATTTTAATCTTGGGGCTTTCATTCCTCCTTACTTCTCTAAGCCTTTTTTACTCATTTCTAAAATAAGAACATCTTGAGTTACCCTTTTCAAATATTAAATGAGGACAAGATGAAGCACTCCCTGAATAAATTGTTTATACCAGTTTATACAGGCTAGGCACAGAACTCTCTCCAGTCAATGCTATTGTTACTTTCTCTACTGTAGAAGAGACTGCCCACTAGGATGGTAGATTATATTAGAAGATTCACAAAGAAGCTTATGAACAGAAGGTACCAAAGTTTTAGATGACCCATTAATTAGGTCTGGTCATGTTGCCAATAAGACAAGCCAAGGTTTATTATACATATTATGTAGAAAGCATATATCTGCATATATGCACATGCCTGTATTTTCTATAATCTTATTGATGAGTTAAGATCACGAGGGTCTAAATAAACAATGACCTGGTTGGTGTGCAATCACTGCCATTGAACATACTCATTTGGTGCTGTCCTGCCCTTGGAAGACACCTGAGGATTCCATAGATTCTCAGTAAGGGCACACCATGCCATGAGACACACACACACACATGCGTGCTCGCACGCTTTATAAATGGACAGCTAAATCAATGTTGATGTATACATTAAAATATTCCTTTATAAAATTTAAAATATGATCATTCTGTAACAAAGTCTGTCTCATAGCCAATTCAACACTCTTCTTTTCTTTTTAAATTGTTTTTTTTGACTTTCATTGTTGTTTATTTCTTTCAAAATCACAATAAATCAACATGTTTTATAATTACCTTTTATTTTTTTGAGCTTCTTTGATATTTATTTATTTATTTATTTATTTATTTATTTATTTATTAAAGATTTCTGTCTCTTCCCCACCGCTGCCTCCCCTTTCCCTCCCCCTCCCCCAACCAAGTCCCCCTCCCTCATCAGCCCAAAGAGCAATCAGGGTTCCCTGCCCTGTGGGAAGTCCAAGGATAAGCGACCCCTTAAATTGTTTTTATTGAGCTAAAATTTTTTCTCCATTCCCTTCCCTTCCTCCCTCCTCCCCTTCTGCTCTTTCCCCTGATCCCCATGCTCCCAAATTACTCAAGAAATCTTGTCTTTTTCTACATCCCATGTAGATTAGATACATTTATGTCTCTCTTAGGGTGCTCTTTTTTGTCTAGGTTCTCATGGATTGTGAATTGTAGGCTGGTTTTTCTTTGCTTTATGTCTAAAAGCCATTTATGAATGAGTACATATTACATTTGTCTTTCTGGATCTGGGTTACCTCACTCAATTCTGATGTTTTCTAGATCCATCCATTTGCCTGTAAATTTTAAGATGTCATTTTTTTTCCACTTTGTAGTACTACATTGTGTAAATGTACGGCATCTTCTTTATCCACTCTTTGGTTGAAGAGCATTTAGGTTTTATCTGGGTTCTAGCTTTGACAGATAATGCTGCTATAAACATAGTTGAGCACATGTCCTTGTGTTATAATTGAGCATACTTTGGGTATATACCAAAAAGTGGTATTGCTGGGTCTTGACTCAGGTAGGTTGTTTCCTAATTTTCTGAGAAATTGCCATACTGATTTTCAAAGTCGGTGTACCAGTTTGCACTCCTACCAGCAATGGAGGACTATTCCCTTTATCCCACATCTTCTCCAGTGTAAGTTGACATTTGTGATTTTGATCTTGGCCATTCTCACAGGTGTCAGATGGAATTTCACAGTTGTTTTGATTTGCTTTTCTTTGATGGCTGAGTGTTGAACATTTCTTTAAAGTGTATTTCAGCCATTTTAGGATCCTCTGTTGAGAGTTCTCTGTTTGGGTCTGTATCCCACTTTTTATTGGATTATTTATTCTCTTGATGCCCAATTTCTTGAGTTCTTTGTATATTTTGGATATCAGCCCTCTGTTTGATGTGGGGTTGGTGAAGATCTTTTCCCATTCTGTAGGCTGCTCTTTTGTCTTGTTGACTGTGTCCTTTGCTTTACAGAAGATCCTCAGTTTCAGGAGAGCCATTTATTAATTGTTTCTCTCAATGTCTGTACTACTGAGGTTATATTTAGAAAGTGGTCTCCTGTGCCAATGCATTTAAGTGTCCTGTCCAATTTCTCTTCTATGAGATTTAGTGTGGTTGGTTTTATATTGATTGAAGTCTTTGATCCATTTAGACTTGAGTTTTGTGCATAGTAATGGATATGGGTCTATTTTCATTCTTCTACATGTTGATATCCAGTTATGACAGCACCATTTGTTGAATATGCTTTCCTTTTTCCATTTTATATTTTTTGCTTCTTTGTCAAAAATCAGATGTTCTTAGGTGTGTGCAT